TTGAGACATAGTGGAAAAGAAAACCAAGAGCAATTTTACATTATCTCAGAAACTCTTTTACGAGCATGGGAATAAGAGCATCAAATTTCTAGCCAGGGCCCTGCAATCCAAAAAAGCGGCTCGCACTATTCATCAACTCAACTCCCAACAAGGCCACTTACTCAAAACTTCTACGGATATTGCAGCAGAATTTGAAAAATACTATACAACCCTCTACAATCTTCCAGAAGCTCACATCACACTCATACCGAAAGAAAACAAGGATCAGACTTCACCAGCTAATTATCGTCCAATTTCCCTCCTGAATGTCGATCTAAAGATTTCACCAAAATACTAGCTAACCGTCTACTATACATCATCGACCCCATTATATCCACTGACCAGGTTGGGTTTGTACCTGGTAGAGAGGCGAGAGACAACATGATCAGAGCAATAAATGTACATCATTGGTTGACACAGAAGAAACAATCAGGCTTCTTCCTCTCTCTAGACGCTGAGAAGGCTTTTGACAGGTTGGCCTGGGACTACATGGAGGCCATCCTGATTTTTGATTTTCATCATGTCATTATATACTACACCAATGGCTAAAGTTAGAGTAAATGGCCTCCTGTCGGATGCCTTCTCTATTAGCAATGGGACCAGACAGGGATGTCCGCTATCCCCCCTCCTATTCATACTTACTTTGGAACCATTCTTGAACCGCATTAAACGGAATGACAATATCAAAGGAATTTTAATCAACGACAAAACACACAAAATAGCAGCCTTCGCAGACGACATCTTACTTTTCCTGACAGACCCACATGTTATGCTCCCTAACATACTACATGATTTCAAAATGTTTCAGTATTTGGCCAACTTTAAAATTAACTTCAATAAATCCCAGGCCCTCAATGTTTCCCTAACCCAAGATATGGTCAGGCAAGCGAGGGCAAACTTCCCTTTTGCTTGGCAATCTGAGGCCATCACGTACTTAGGAATCTAACTACCAGCTCACCTTACAGACCTTTATGCAAAAAACTTCTTATCCATTCTACATAGCATCACCAAGGACCTATAGACATGGGACAAACCAATTTTCTCGTGGTTTGGAAGAGCAGCGATTCTTAAGATGAACGTGCTTCCCAGACTACTATACCTGCTATACCTGACGCAAACTATACCAATCAGGCTACCCAACTCTTTCTTTAAGTCATATAAAATACTATGTACTCTTTTTTATGGTGTAATAAACTCCCCAGAATCGGTTTTGAGCAACTTACTGTGCCGAAGACGGGAGGAGGTATTGGACTGCCTGATATTACACGCTACTACAGAGCCTGTCACATGGCAAGAATAGTAGATTGGTCTACAAACCACAACCCTAAGGCTTGGGTAAACTTGGAAGCTGCATTTTCAGGGACCCCGCTCGCCACCTTCCCTTGGCTGAAAAAATCCCACATCTTGTCTGAGTTCAGGGAACATCTTCTAATAGGCCCTACTCTGTCGTGTTATCATCTGATAAGTCAGAAAACAGGTTTTTCTTCAACCCCTGGTCCACTCACACCTATCAGAATGAACCCTGACTTCCCCCCTGGTATGTCTCGTGCCTTCCTCACCGGGTCTAGCCCCCCAGACAATTTGAGACTGCATCATCTTTTCAAAGACGGTGCCTTCTTACTCAGAGACTGCCTCCTGAACAAATGGCCATCTCTAACCCTGACGCCGTGGATGTATACACAACTCCATCACTTTATACACAACTCATCACACCTAAAAGATTACACTAGACCACTCACCCCATTTGAAAAACACTGCTCAACCGACTCACCCCAGAGACACGTCGTATCCAAACTACATGCTTGCCTCGAAAACACTATTGATATTACATCAAGGAAAGCTTGCATGGCTTGGACCTCGGACTTACAACTCCAACTAACAGCAGAGGACTGGGATCATATCTACGACCATATACACAAAGGTTCCATATGTGTCTCAACACAAGAAAACAATTTTAAACTGTACTCTAGATGGTACAGAGTTCCGTCCCTACTACACAAATTCGACCCTAACATCTCAGACTTGTGCTGGAGATGCCATAAAGCAACGGGTACACTGCTACATGTCTGGTGGGACTGCCCACTGTTGCAACCCTTCTGGGGGAAAATACAGTCCATAATCACGCAAGTAACTACGTACTCCCTAGACCTCTCCCCTGCACAATTCTTACTCCACCATTCCACACTCCCATTTAGGACATACTTGCCATGCACATGGTAAACTCGGCAAAACAATGTATTCCAGTTCACTGGCGTTCAACACATGTTCCCACAATTCGAAAACAATGTATTCCAGTTCACTGGCGTTCAACACATGTTCCCACAATTCGAGAATGGTTTGCCAGGATCAACAAAATTGAGGAAATGGAGGAACTCATCTCTGTAGCAAAAAGACCATCCTGAGAGATTCAGGAAGACATGGGCTTGTTGGAGTCACTTCAAAACCACCACCACTTACCACCTACTACTACATGACTATCCTACACCCCCCAAATAAATAGTTGAACACAACGTTATGTCATAAGTAACCCTCTCCTTCTTTGGTGAATATGATACATATTTAGACAGACTGAAACTTAACATAATGACCTATCTTTCCAGGTTATCGACCCACATATTAGCCTACTAAATGATCTCACATATATTAACACATAAGCTATATAGCTACCTTTCTGACTCGTACAAAACGACGCAACTCAATTTAGTTGCAGATACCCCTTCCAATATCCCCCTCCCTCCATACCCATTTCCCCTCCCCCTCCTTTTTTTTCTCATCTTACATTCCCCCTTTCTACCTCACCTGGCATCTCTTTTTCTATCTTTTCATCTCTTTGATTTCTCTCTACCTCACACCGTTGGCGCTATGTCATCAACTACATGTCTTCAATAAATTCTAGCATGTAATCTATCATACAGGTTTGACTAGACTTACGTAGATCCCACTCTCCCGAAGTGGGCACACACTTTTATAATGCACGTACCATCATGTGCTACTTTATCCCATCACTTCACTTTTCTCAAACCTAAGGGCTTACAAGAAGATCGGTCATTAATGCAACCATAACAACTTGTCCATAGCAATTTATGTGTCTGTTGGTTTAATTTACATCTTTGGCTACAAATTTATATCTCACTATGGTCTGTAAGACAACTCAAACCCATAGCCCCTCTGCAAAACGGGATGTTTTATAATGTGTCTATGTTCGGACTATGACCTGTATCTGTACACATATTGATCTGCCTTAAATCTTTCACTAAAACTATTTTTGGAAAGTCCAATAAAAAACTATTTTTGGAATAAATAAAAAAAAAAGTTCCAGTTTAAAATGTCCCAAATGCAGTTCCCACTATCCACCATCACCAGGACATGTGAATGGTTCAGCCTCTTACCAGAAATTCTGACCACAACTCACCAGGCAATATAGGCAACTCAAATGGCAGATGGATATGTGCAGATCATGGAACCAGCAATCCTTCATCCAGATAGATATCAATCCTCCTCACAAAGATCTAAAAATGGTCCAAAAAGAAGACTCCCATCCAATGTTTAGATAGGGAATAAAAGAAAAAGGACACTCATAGTGTAGTAATTAAATAATAAAGTCACCCTGTTTATTACAAGTTACTCGGATATTGTTTTGGATGGTTACCAGCATTTGAATCAAGTTTTCAACCAGGAAAATGGCCGTCGTCCCTCCAAAAAATGTGATGACGTCACGTGCCGAAGCTCCACCCGACGCGTTTTCGTCATTCATCGACGACAACGTTAATTGTTTTTGTTCATATCCCTCTATAGTTTGTACTTGTCTCAATTCAGAATACTAATTGTCATTTCTGTATGCTGCCTCCTTCCTCTGCTATAAGTATAAGTCACTTCTGACAAGTTTTCCTGACACCAAGAGAAAAATGGTGACAGGGGAGGGCACAATCTGTGCCCTTTGCTGACACCAAGAGAAAAATGGTGACAGGGGAGTGCACAATCTGTGATTGACAGCGTAAGCTCTGTTCCTGTGTGCTGTGTGAAGGAGGGTGAGTCCCTTCCCTCCAATCTGCTCTCAGAGCTTTCCTCACTGATGATGATAACGTCAGCTCTCTGCCTCCCGCTTTTCAGAGCCGAGAGATCCTGTGTACATTCTGCACTTTGAATGTGGGGAATGACAGCTGTAGATAAGCAGGTAAAACTTATGTAGAAGGATTTGTTTCATCTCTGTGCATCATCTGAGGCCAGTCACTTCACTGGGTATATGTAAGAGATAACAACCACTTTAAAGGAGTACCCAATATGTTTTAGGGGTTCAAAAAAAGTCCTCCTTCATCGGGGCTTGAGATTGAAAACAATGTGAATGGAATAGAAGTAAACTGGACCTTTAATGGTATTTCTTCCAGTATAATTACAAGCACAAGTCTTATCAGCAACTGGTTTGACTGCACACATTATAGCACAAATCATGCATGTAAAGGACATACCATTTTCATACCCCCCCCCCCATTACACAAACCATAAAGAATGATTTAGCAGAATTATTGAATACACCAACTAGTATCTAATGTAACCATCATATCTAATACTATTTTTCCTTTACATTTGCTTCTCAAAATAACAGATGCTATAATTTAAAGGTTGGATGAAAATTTTAGTGTAGTAAAACAATATTGATATTTCAAATATGAATTTTTTATACAGTTTTAGGCCTAGTTCGCACTAGTGACTTCAGATGTAACTTGAGTTTCTCAGAATTGCAATCACAAAGTTTTTAATGTTGTTTGTTCACATCAATGAGACTCAGCACTGAGTGATTTTAGAAAAGGTTCCTGTAATTTGGTGCAATTCCAGTGTAATTTTGGCCCCATAGACTATACAAGCCTTATCAAAATTGCAGCCAAGCTACATCCAAGTAGCACTACATAATCACACTGAAACTAGGATCATAATCATATCGCAGTAGTGTGAACCTAGCCTTATTTACACTATCTTGCCAAAAGTATTGGGACACTCCTCCAAATCATTGGATTCAGGTGTTCCAACCACCTCCATGGCCACAGGTGTATAAAATCAAGCACCTAGGCATGAAGACTGCATCTACAAACATTTGTGAAAGAAAAGGTCACTCTCGGGAGCTCAGTGAATTCAAGCGTGGCACCACGATAGTTTGCCACCTGTGCAATAAGTCTATCAATGAAATTTCCTTGCTGCCAAATATTCCATGGTCAACTGTTAGTGGTATTATAACAAAGTGGAAGCAACTGGGAACAACAGCAACAGCAACTCAGCTATGTAGTGGTAGGCCACGTAAAATGACAGAGCGGGGTCAGTGCACAGTGCGCAGAAGTCACCAGCTGTCTGCAGAGTCAATAGCTAAAGACCTCCAAATTTTGTGTGGCCTTCAGATTAGCACAACAACAATGCGTAGAGAACTGGAACACCTGAATGCTTCATGGAATGGGTGTCCATGGCCGAGTAGCTTCATCTAAGCCTTACATCACCAAGTGCAATGCAAAGCGTTAGATGCAAGGGTGTAAAGCACACCGCCACTGGACTCTAGAGCAGTGGAGACATGTTCTCTGTAGTAATGAATCACGCTTCTCTGTCTGGCAATCCGATGGACGTGTCTGGGTTTGGCAGTTGCCAGGAGAACGGTACTTACCTGAATGCATTGTGCAAAGTGTAAAGTTTGGTGGAGGGGGGGTTATGGTATGGAGTTGTTTTTCAGGGGTTGGGCTTGGCCCCTTAAGGTGTCAACATACCAAGACATTTTGGACAATTTCATCCTCCCAACTTTGTGGGAACAGTTTGGGAATGGCCCTTTCCTGTTCCAACATAACTGCGCACCAGTGCACAAAGCAAGGTCCATAAAGACATGAATGAGCGAGTTTGGGGTGGAGTACCTTGAATGGCCTGCACAGAGTCCTGACCTCAACCAGATAAAACACCTTTGGGATGAATTACAGTGGAGACTGCGAGCCAAGCCTTCTCGTCCGACATCAGTGCCTGACCGCAAAAATGCACTTTTGGAAAAATGGTCAAACATTCCCATAGACACACTCCTAAACCTTGGGGACAGCCTTCTCAAAAGAGTTGAAGCTGTGGACCAACTCAATATTGAACCCTGTGGACTAGTGGGTAGTTAAAATCCCCCATTATTATCACTGTCCCAGCCCTTGCCGCCCTTTCGATCTGTACAAGGAGCTGAGTTTCCACCTCCTCATTAACACTGGGAGGCTTATAACAAACTCCAATGATTACTACGCACCCCCATGTGCAGTTCCACCCATAATACTTCAGCCTCATCACACTCTCCATCAACTAGGTCCTCTTTCACACTCGCTCTGAGATCACTTCTCACATAGAGACATACACCACCACCTTTCCTATTTAATCTGTCTCTCCGAAAGAGAACATAGCCAGGAATATTAATGGCCTAGTCATATGAAGAATGAAGCCAAGATTCAGCAATACCAATTAAATCATAGATCTCTTCATGCAACAAAGCTTCCAACTCACCTATTTTGCTTGGCAGACTTCTGGCATTGGTGAACAAACATTTTAACTGATTGACACATTATTCACATGTATTTTGCATATTTTTTATTTTCATACAAATGGTACCAATTCCACTGGTTGTTTATAACATGGGAACCTTCTTATCATCTGCCATAGCCTTCCTCCCATCTTTCCCCATTCCACCCACCAATAAGTACTGACCCCTGTCTGATCTGTCTACGCCGTTATAATCTAATTCTCCCTCCCCCTTGATCCTAGTTTAAATACTCCTCCAGCCATCCCATAAACCTCTCCCCCAGCACAGCAGACCCCCTTCCATTTAGGTGCAGATTATCTCTAGCATATAGGTTGTACCCAAATGAAAGTCAGCCCAGTGCTCTAGAAACTCAAATCTTTCCCTCTTACACCGGATCTTCAGCCATGCATTGAGTTCTCTAATCTCCCCCTGTCTTTCCTGAGTTGCGCATGGCACACATACTATTTCAGAGAATATCACCTTGGAGGTCCTTTCCTTCAACTTGCAGCCTAATTCTTTAAATTGATTCTTAAGGAGCCTCCACCTTCCATGTATTCTGTCATTGGTGCCAACATGAACCAAGACAGCTGGGTCATTCCCAGCTCCTCCCAGTAATTTATCAACTCGGTCCTACACATGCCGAACCCTGGCACCAAGGAGACAGCAAACCATTCGGTTGAGGCGATCCTGGCGACAAATTATTCTATCAGTCCTTTTGATCATAGAATCCCCTACTAGCACCAGCTGTCTAGGCCTTCCTGCACTATCCTCACTACCCCTCCCAGATGGTCTGCCTTCCCGGCTTTTAGGGATAGCAGTGACATTCAGGGCTGCCACCCCTGAGCTTGCCACCCCCACATCTTCACCCAACTTGGCAAATCTGTTTTTGGGTGCTCAAACCCAGGGCCAGCCTTCCTTTTCTGTGAGCTCTACCACTCCCTTTTGTTACAGTAACCCATCTTCCTACCTGATAATCCTGATTAGCCCGTCTGCCCTCCACATCAATCACATTAGCTACCATCTCAGAGAGCAGAAGACCCCTTTCAAGGCTGATAGCACTATCCAGTGTTGCAACTTTCTCCTCAAGACCTCTAACGTGAGATTCCAGAAGGGCAAGCCGCTCACATCTGTCGCAGCGTTATCCATCCTGGAGCTGTTGCTCCATTGCTGCATACATGCGGCACACTGTGCACTGTACAAAACCCTCAACCCTACTAGCACTCATATCCCAGTTACAATATTACAGGAAAGATCAGTTGCAGGGGCGGACTGACCATTTGAACACTCGGGCACTGCCCGAGGGCCCGGGGTCAGTAGGGGGCCCCATGAAATGCCCCTGGTACCTTTTATAGGCTTTTTTTGAGTGTGGACAAGAACATAGGGGCCCCATGATCCCCTATTGCCCAGGGGCCCCATGTGTTGTCAGTCCGCCCCTGATCAGTTGTCACTTACAGGTTAGTAGACTCCTGTTATAATCTCCTGTTTTCAACTCCGGATTTTTAACTCCACTTATCAAATGCCCACTTGGTCAAAGGTCTGGCAAACAAAATACAGGCAAGCTCAAAAATGAGCAAGCTCAGAGTGAGCTCTACAGCAAGTTATACTGTATCACCTGTGACCAATTAACCCCTCCCCTTAAGTAGCAGAGTGAAGGAAGACAAGGAAAGGAAGAAAAAAAATGCTATTAAAAAAGTGACAGAAAAAGCGATTTACAAAAGTAAAAGCTTTTAGCAAGACCCAAAGAAGAAAATAAAACAACTACAAGCACCAGCAATCACCAGCAGTCAAAGTAAAACGTTTTCAAATTTCCCACTCTTTTTAGTGATCAGCCAGCATAAAATGCCAGATGGTTGAAATGGTTGAAAATATATCTCTACTGAGTACTGATGTAGTTGTCTTACAAGATACATGAAAACTGTGTTCCAACAAGTCCACTGCCTCTTTGTTTACTGTTTAGTCACAGGGTAGGAGTGCTACACGGGGCTGCACTGTATAACAGAACTATGCACATTACAGGGCTGGATGAACAGAGAACCAAATCCTTTGACAGGCAATACAGCCAGGGCCGTATTTAACACAAGGCAAACAAGGCATTTGCCTAGGGTGGCATTTTTCAGGGGGGGGCAACAGAGAAGAACCCTGGAAGAAGAGACGGAAGAAGGGACACACGTGGCATGGGGACCAGGTGGGAACCAAGAGAGACTGCTGACTGCTTGACGGTGTATGTAGAGCCCGACTCCCATTCCCGGGAATGCCCAGAGCTGTCAAAGTGAGTGTCTTCTCTCTATTTCTAGAGGGTTGGGCGTCTTGTGTATGGGGGGCGATGGTAGTGAAAGGCTCTTTTGGGTGGTGGGACATGAGTGTTGTTGGTCAATGTCAGTCTCTCTCCACGGGTGAGGGGGGTGGTGTTGGTTTGTGTCAAACTCTCTCCATGGGGAGGGGAGTAGCCGGCAATTTTTGTGTTGCCTAGGGCCGTATTTAACACAAGGCAAACAAGGCATTTGCCTAGGGTGGCATTTTTCAGGGGGGGAAACAGAGAAGAACCCTGGAAGAAGAGACGGAAGAAGAGACACACGTGGCATGGGGACCAGGTGGGAACCAAGAGAGACTGATGACTGCTTGACGGTGTATGTAGAGCCCGACTCCCATTCCTGGGAATGTCCAGAGCTGTCAAAGTGAGTGTCTTCTCTCTCTTTCCAGAGGGTTGGGCGTCTGGTGTATGGGGGGTGATGGTAGTGAAAGGCTCTTTTGGGTGGTGGGACATGAGTGTTGTTGGTCAATGTCAGTCTCTCTCCATGGGTGAGGGGGGGTGGTGTTGGTTTGTGTCAAACTCTCTCCATGGGGAGGGGAGTGGCCGCTAATTTTTGTGTTGCCTAGGGCAGCACAAAACCTAAATACACCACTGAATACAGCTATAATATACTGTATGTATTTTATGTTTGCACATACTGTAGTTGTTAGCCTGGATTTAGTTTTACCTGATTGATTTTACTATTTTCTTGAAGTTGCTCTTTAAAGCATCTGTTACCAATGATAAATTGACTATACAAGGTGTCCCTAAAGTCTGGACACATAGGCAAAATGCATATAAACTTCAATACATTTTTCAACATTTTATTTCATTGGAATGTTAATCAATGTCATCTTCAATGAGATGTCCACCATTTGTGATGCAAAGTTCCATGGGCCTTGTAAGGTTCACATGAACCCAATGTGGCAACTTCACATTTCTGTCAATTTGAGCACATTCATTCACGATGCGTTCCTTTGGGTGATTCATATCTGCGAATACACCTTCACCTTTAGCATTCCCCCCAAAAAAGAAGTCAAGGGGGTTAAGGTCTGGTGAGCTTGTATAGTGATTAGAGATGAGCGAATTATTAAAAAATTCGATTCGGCTGATTTGCCGAATTTGCGGGAGAAATTTGATTTGATGCGAATTTATTCGCCACGAATTTAACTTATTAAAAGGGTTTCTAGGCTTCAGAGAGCCTTTATATTAGTGCAGAACACTGTACCTTTAATTTACATGCCCTTGGAGTCTGCTGGGGAAGAGAAATAATACTGTCAGTCAGTATGACATGCAGATGAGTGCCGTCGATCTTAGAATCACCGCACACTTCACTCATTTGGGCAGTCACGGGGCACGACGAAGAAGAAGAAGAAGAAGAATGAAAAGAAGAATGAAAAGAAGAAGAAGATGAATGAAAAGAAGAAGAAGAATGAAAAGAAGAATGAAAAGAAGAAGAAGAAGAATGAAAAGAAGAATGAAAAGAAGAAGAAGAAGAATGAAAAGAAGAATGAGAAGAAGAATGAAAAGAAGAATGAGAAGAATGAAAAGAAGAATGAAAAGAAGAAGAAGAAGAATGAAAAGAAGAAGAAGAAGAATGAAAAGAAGAATGAAAAGAAGAAGAATGAAAAGAAGAAGAAGAAGAATGAAAAGAAGAAGAAGAAGAAGAATGAAAAGAAGAATGAAAAGAAGAAGAAGAAGAATGAAAAGAAGAAGAATGAAAAGAAGAAGAAGA